GATAACAATAACAATAATAATAATAATAATAATAAAGTACTTGCTTTTAATAATATTCTCATTTGATTGACGGCTTTTGCGTAATTATTTTCCTACGCGTTGACAGCTTATACAAGTTGAATTAAAAGTACTACTTACTAATTGGAATATACCCCAAGTAGATAATATCAAGCCGCATAAGGCATATTTCGGTCCACATATCTTCATTTTTGACCGAAAATTGATTTTCTCCTTCTATACGAAGTAACCTAACAAATAGCGTATCACACTGTTATATCGTTACGCCCTCAATAATCATATGATTTTCATTGACAAGTGAGTAACACAGCTATCGATATCTCGAAGTTTCACATCCGGTATTCAAAATTCCGCGATTTCTAACAAAATGGAGTTACGAACGAGAATAATATGCAATAAACGCTGCATATTCACAAGAAAAAATGAATTTTCACCTTTTACCACAAATATACGTATATTCCGTTAACTGGATTTTGGCATGACCTTGAAGGCAGAATTTTATGTAAATAATTTCGTTCTAAAACTTATGTTGAAAACATACTTATATAGTATACGATATATCTAGTACATACAATGTAATGTTTGAATTAGAAAATTTTCGAATAATAAGATATTCAATTATTTTCTGATAAATGGTAAAACTGAATGAAAAATCATTTTAATAAAATTTAAATCAAAGTTAACATTGGTGTTATCTTGTTTCTGTATATGTTGTGTTGTTTAAAAATGTTTTAAAATAACTGTTAACTTAACTGTTTTAAATTAACACTTTAATTTTTTCCATTGCATTTTCATAATTATAAAAATGATCGTACCACAAATACATACATTGAAACACTGCATTATGAATGCGACAAATCATAGTAAAACATGGATGTGATTCATACTTCCTGTTGTTGTCAGTCCTGATTCATAGGATCATGGTTGACCGATTGGGTTAGTTTGCATCCCATTTACTATCAATTAATTAATGTTACGAATTATACGGAAACTTCCACCCATTTTCTGCGTATTTCAAGATCTGTGACATTTGTTTTAACTCTGGAATTGGATAATTTACATTTTACGTAACGTACGATTTGTGACATTTGCATTGAATAACGGTGTAGTTCAGTAGCTGGTGGTTTTGACAGTTAATAATACATGAAGTTCTAAAAAGGAGTAGTTGATACCTCATCAGATTTTATTTATTAGTGTACACTTTTTTACAAGTATATTGGTAATCATTTAATATTTTCACCGTTTATTACAGTATATAAAAGTTTTAATAATATTTAACGTATTTTAATATATACTGATAGAAAATTCGTGATATTGATTCCAGTCTAAGAATTGGAAGATTTATGAATTTGTGCTCGATAACTTGTGACATTTGTACTGGGTAACAATATGCTTCAATATTTTTTATTTATGACAATCGCACACATCATATATTAACTATTAAAAGATAATATTGAATCTATTTTTGTATCTTATTTATCAGTACAAAGTGTTGTACGAACATAAATGAAAAATTATTTGTTTTTCTTCTAACTTCTTGCAGTAAATAGCGAAGCCAATGCCAGGCGTATTGCAATGGTCGAAAACTGCTTTGGCGGTTCTGGCCAGGTAAAGTTGATTCAGTAGAACATTATTATGCTTATCATTTAATTCCATGTAACCTGGGTAATATAAAGAACAACTAAAAGAGAAGTAAGATAATAACTAATCTTCTTATAAATTAATTCAAATATATTATTTCTTTCAGCCACTTGCCGTACCTGGAAGAGTTTTGGTTGGCGAAGGTGTCTTGACAAAAATGTGTAGAAAGAAACCAAAACCAAGACAATTCTTTCTGTTTAATGATATATTGGTTTATGGAAACATTGTAATCAACAAAAAAAAGGTGCTTTAATGAAGTTCTTATTATAAATCTGTAAATACGTTTACGAATTCACACAAATCAATACAATATTTTTAATTTAGTTACGAAACAAATTAATATTCTTTGTATTAACAGTACAACAAACAACATATTATTCCACTCGAAGAAGTGAAATTGGAATCTTTGGCTGATGATGGTCGTAAGTTACATTTTCATTTTTAATTTATTATATATCTTGTGTTTCATAAAATATATTCTGGACAAGAGCGTTTTAAAAGAAATGTAATATGAACATGACTAATATAAGAATATGTTTATCAAGACTATCATTTTTTCATTTATAGTTATTTCAGCAATAAATATTTTCAGCTTGGATTACTATAATCTATTTAGATTGCACACTTTCAATGTTGCAAATGTTTGTAATTACTACTTTTATATAGTATAGTAATTCGTCATCATTTATAGAATATCGCAATGGTTGGCTTATAAAGACAGTAACAAAATCATTCGCTGTTTATGCTGCCACTGCAACAGAGAAACAAGAATGGATGGCTCATATCACAAAGTGTATCGAAGATTTATTAAGAAAGAGTAAGTTATAATTATCTTGTCCATGAAATATATTTGAAACCTGAACATTTCAAACTTAAAAGTTCTTGTAACAATAGGTGGTAAAAAACCAGTTGAAATTCATGCAGCTGTTTGGGTACCAGATAATGAAGCCACAATTTGTATGCATTGCAATAAAACACAGTTTACAGTCTTAAATAGACGGGTACACATATTAACGATTCTTTAAATACTTTTGATATAGATTGTATCTGATATATATATATTTAAAGTATTTCTATCATTCTTTTTAGCACCATTGTAGACAATGCGGAGCTGTAGTATGTGGGCCTTGCAGCAATAAAAAATTATTATTGCCAGGGCAGGGAAATGGAAAAGCAGTTAGAGTTTGTTTGCAATGCTTCGATGCAGCTAGTAAAGTAAAAGCATCTTCTCCAACAACTGATAGCTTGAATAACAAATATCAGCAACGTAATTCTGCTGACAGTTCAGGAGGGGATAGTTCCGGTGATGATGACGATGGAAATAAGGAAGAAAATCACGACGAGGTGATAAACTTTTACAGAATACTTATTTATTGTTCTAATACTATTGCAATAATTTAAATATGTCTATTGTTTCAGCCTAAATTTTACTCTACGCTTGCTCGATGAAGTTAACCAGATTATTATTAAAGCAGAGATACCTACAAACAAAAACATTATTCAAAGCTATATTTTTAAAAATGAATAACCCAAGATTCTCAATGATTCAAACTTTTAATAATTGAAGATCGTTAAAACTATTCTTAAATTATATTTGTGCAAAGAACTACGGAACGAACGTCTGTGTATAAATAATTAAAATGATTTTGAGAGTTAGTTTAAATTGTAAATCTAATTTATATAAATAATTTGAAAATATATTTGACTTTCAATGTTAGTTAAACTATTGTAATATTTACACAGACAGTAAAAAAAAGACTACTATTTTTAAACTCTTTATATATAGTAAGATTATGAAAATTTTGACCATTTATACTTGTATCTTGTTATATTGTAATATTTCAATATTTACCATAATTAGATTCTAATTTTTCTTGTTAGAATATTGTACGAATATATGCCACACTGTGCCTTTCCATCTAGACCGTTTGATTCCTTTTACTATTTATAAACAATTGATACGGATCTAACATAATTTCTGAAAAAAATATTATGTAACGAATTTGTATTCATATAGAATTGAATTTCTCATAGCGAATTGTATTATAAGATTAATTGAAATCATTTTAAAATGCGGATATTGTAATAAATGAAATATAATAATAAACAGTACAATATTTATGAATGTTATTTCCTTAATACTTTTTATACTGAATATAGATGGCGTAACTAAATCTCATTATAAATTAATATACACAACATATTGAAAAAGCCAATTTCAAATATATAAAAATTTATAGATTAAAGTAACAGAATATATTGTATTTTCAAAGTTACTATGTTACACTTAATAAAATAAAATGTACTGTAATTATACGATTAAATAGATACTGGAAAGGATAGCGGAATACAGTAGTGAAAAATTCGTATTATGGACACTCAATATAAGTTAGTATATAACCACTTTTTTTTAACTTAAAATGGTTAGCATTTGTTATGAATTTTATTGTAAAATATTATAGTATATGTGTATTGAACAACAAAAAGGAGAAAATATGTATTCAATTTGTTAATTATTTAAAAATGTTTTACTTTATTTCGATATAACCTTCTCAGTAATAATTTTTAAGTAATTTCATACATAAATATATCAAAAGAATTATATTTTTCAACGAAATTACATATAACGAAAGTATCTGAATAATTATATTCAAAATATTTAGTTAGACGTTTATCATTTCAAAATAAAACTGAAAATATGTATATGCGATTATAGGACTATTCATCCTGTGAAATATCTACAAGATCATTTGGTGAGTAAATGTGTATTTATATACTGTTATTACAATTTATAACTTCATTTACTATTTGTAGGCACAAGATGTTAGACCTGATGGTAGACAATTTTTATCTTTTCGTCCAATAAGTATAAATATTTCATCGGTTACTCATGCAGATAGTTCATCGATATTCAAAATTGGTAATACAACATGTGTATGTGGTATTAAAGCTGTAAGTATCTTTTAGTAGGGTATTGCAGTCATTCATTTTGAGATAATAAAATATTTATTTTATTATAGGAATTAGCAGTACCCAAAATAGAACATCCCGATTGTGGTTATATCGTACCAAATGTTGAACTTTCTCCATTGTGTTCACCAAAATTTCGACCTGGTCCACCAAGCGATCAAGCACAAATTACTTCGAAAATGATAGAACTTATTCTAAAGAATTCAGAAGCTGTAAATTTGAAAGACTTATGCATTTACAAAAGCAAACTAGTATGGGTATTATATTGCGATCTTTTATGTATTAATTATGATGGTTCAGTAATTGATGCTTGTATTGGAGCATTGATTGGAGCACTTAATACTTGTAAGCGTTGTTGTGCCTTTCATGATTCATTATGAAATCATACAATTGTGTGCATCATTTTTTCATTTTTTCTGATGCAGTGAAATTACCTGAAACAATCTATAACGCAGTAACAGGAAATATTTCTGTACATCCTATGAACAAGATATGTTTTCCAGTTAAAGCCTTGCCAGTTTCCGTAACATTTGCTATATTTAATGAGTAAGTTACAGTATTCTAGTGTATAAAGTATTTTTCAAATAATATATGAAGCTACATTAAATATGCACAGTCATTATTTGTTCATTTATACAGCCAGTTATTAATTGCTGATCCCACCGATGAAGAAGAAAGTTTATGCTTGGGGAGATTAATAATTGTAATGGATGAGGAAAAACTTTGTTACATACACAAACCTGGTATGTTACACGTTGCTTAAAATTTATTTAAATAAATTTTGTTTTTAATGAAATGTTAAGCTATATGTACAATATTATTTATCTAGGTGGAGTTCCAATTTCATGTGAGCTGTTTTTGAAGAGTTTAGCAAAATCCAAGAAAAGGGCAGAATTAGTAAGATCACTAATTAATACTGCTATATCATCAGCAAAAGAGGAGCAATCAAAAAAACAACAATGTGTATAAAGTACATTTGTATTATTAATAAAATATTTGATAATTATGTTTTTAATCATTTTAAGACTTTAATATTTCATATTTCTTTAAACACTATTAGAGTAATATTATTATACTCACATAGAATTTTATTTTATAAACTACATTGTGCGATAGAAAATTTAATAACTTTTATTTGTTCTTACTACTACACATAATAATAAATATTAATTAGAATATTATTAAATTAGAATTCAAGTATCAAAAACTTTAAGTATAAATGATTCATACTTATAACACATTTGAACAAACAAATCATGCAAAAATAAGAATTTTAATAAATAACATATATAAATTGAGAAAACTAGTGAAGATTTGTTTTTTTCATAATGCGTAGGAATTCTTTTTGAGAAATTTCTCCATCACCATCTTTGTCTGCTTCATCTATCATTTCTTGTAATTCTTCGTCTGTAAGATTTTCACCTAATTCTCGAGCGACTCTTTTTAAATTCTTAAATGTTATTTTTCCTGTATTGTCATCATCGAACAATCGAAATGCTTTTAAAACTTCATCTTCTTTATCTATCTCTAACATTTTTGTAGACATTAAGTTCAAAAATTCTTCAAAGGATAATGTGCCAAGACCATCAGGATCAACATCAGCTATAAGTTTCTTCATTTCTTCTTTCTTAGGTTCAAATCCAAGGGCTCTAATGGCTACTTTAAGTTCTTTAGTGGCAATTCTTCCAGTACCATCTGGATCAAATAGATCAAATGCTTCTTTTACATCATTTTTTTGTTCTGCTGTCAATTCTAATTTCGGTGGTCCCCTCTTTTTTACAGTAACAATAGCTTGCTTCTTAGAAGTGGAAGCCTAAAGTGTAATTATTAATTTATTTCTATTATGATGCGTTTTTGTAGATAAATAGTACTATATATAAATAAATAATTATCAGACATACCATGTTCAAAAGTTGTCCAAATGCTTTAAGATAATGTTTATATATAAGAGATACAGAATTATGATAACTTCTGTTTATCACAAAATTATTTTTGTTAAATATTACATAATTATTACTTAGGATATACAATAATATGTATAGCATTGCAAATAGTGGTTTAAAATTCCTTGGCAATTATTACTCATTTTTAAACTAACAGCGACCAAACAGATTTTAATTATTATGGCGTCGGTTGCCTCGGGTTGTTTGATAGTTGTTTATGTTTCGCCAACTTAGTGATCAAACTAAAGATATTAAAATTCAAATGTGTTAAAGTTTATTTTGTCAAGCAGACAATAGAGAGCGCGATGGAAGGTAAAAAAAAATTATCTATGGGGGAAAATAATACAGTATTTATATATATATCGGATGTTAAACAGAAAGGTTTATATCTTCAGAAGCGGATAGGATTATTCAAATAGAAAGCAAGAGTTCTAATGAATATAAGTCGAAAGATTAATATTTTTGAAATTATAAACAATTTCTTCTTTTTATAATACCGTGTACATTGTGTATATATTTGGTGCATACTATTAAAAATTAAAGAATTGGTAGAATAAGTAATGAAATTGACAAATTTAATATGTTGTATTTTTTTGTGGTAACACTGTAAATTTAAGCGTTGCGTACCTGCAATAGTTTAGCACACCATTTCTGTGGCTATATTATACTTACGGACATTGTAAAACCACTCGTCATGTACGAACCAGTAGTTAAACCGATATTAAAACCTCGTAGTTTGAAAGGCACATTGGCTGGTAAAGTTAATGTACTCAATAATTTGCTGATAACTATAACTGCAACTGCAGTTCTCGGTGCGCTCTGGTAAATGTTTGCATGTTTCGCATAACTTAATAAATTTCTACGTTATTCATGGAACAAGATTAAATGTTTATAAGAAAAATAAAGTACAAACATAACGTTTATTCAGGCTATTATCTTTATTTAATGTACCAGAAGTAATCTCAACTTAATCTTATTACTTTATATTAACGTCTGAATTTTTTGTATTCACGTTTGCAGGTTACAATTACATTTGTGTGATAAGGGTACAGGGTGTTGAGGTACAGAGTGTTACAAGAAAATATTATCATAATATATTAATTANNGTGACACTCTGTAGATGTGTAATGTTTTGCATATAATATACATTACAATTTCGGTACTGTGCACATTTGTTTGAATAGCATAAATATAACTATTGCATTTTTTGTTACAGTATGTTCGTAGCACAAAAACGGACACATATACGTGAACTTAATGGAGATCTTACGCCTTCGAATTTTGTACATTCATTTACTTTCATGAAATCTGCCGATGAAGAGGAAGCTTCTGGACAAGAAGGACAGTTAAAACATAAGGAAATAAAATTAAATTTGAAGAAATACTTAGTAAATCATTGATGTGTAGATACACTTATATTTCGTGTTTAATAATCAATCGACTTTTGAAGTAGTTTTACGTAAGAAGATATTCATGACTAAAAAATGTATTATATCTGAAAGATAAAGAAAGGTATGATTTTTAAAGCTACCGATGAAATAATAATGTATAGAAAAAGCACTGATAAAAAAAACATTTCTAACAGTAAATTATATATTAATCTTTGATTAAACCTTTTCTGAATTATTAAAATATTACTTGTAAATGTTTCCAATGACATTTTTATGTTAATGATTTTCTATGAGCAACCATGTAATAATAAATGTTTATTAATTACTTCATTCCATCCAAATGAAGATTTTTCATTTGTACACAAAATTTTAATCATTGAACTTATCTTAAGAAATGTTTGTAATTGTTAGTATTTTATAACGCAGCTGAATACTGTTACAAATAAACAATTTAAATGTATATAATATTAAATGAGTTTTATCATGTATATACGTAAAGTATTATATCATAGAAGTTATTTTACTTTACAGGCAATGTAAATCTCTTATAGAGTACCTCTGAATACTTATTCCAATGTATCACATGACAGTTTACTGATGAAATTAAAATGGATGAAAAAATGCAGAGTAATAAATATACTGTTTCCATTGAAACTGAAGGTGATAGTATACTAGATTTCAAAAGCCCAGAATTTGCTAAGCCTAATATAAAACTGAGGAAGAAAGAGAAATTAAAAAATGTTAGAAAGAACCAGAAAGATATGAAATTTAAACATTCAGACAAAAGAAAAAAATTACAAGAGTCTCAGCCTTCTATAGAATCTTCTTTTTTTAAACCCAAAAAGGATAATGATGACAAAGATCAAACTGATGATGTAAAAGTGGCTCTTTTATGTCCCCTATGTTTGAAAATCTTCAAAGATGTGGATTCTCAAGCAGTACACATGAAAGTTTGTGCATGCAAAAATAATATTTCTACGAAAAAGTTATTAGATGCGATAGAACTTCAAAAGCGTCAAGAGGATGAAAGAAAATCATTAGGTTTACTTGCCGCACCAGTAATACAAGAGAAGAAGAAACCAGTATCCCGTAAAACAGTACTGTATCTTATCTATTAAATGTATTCAATATTCTGTGTGAAATGAAATTTATAACTCAAATTTTTTCTTTTGTAGAATTTGGACAATGATTCTGATCTTCAACTTGCATTAGCATTATCAAAGTCTCTTCAAGAAGCAGAAGTATTAGAGGAAGTTAATGAAATTGAACAATTATCCGAGGTACCAAATAAAACTACACTTGAAATAACAGAATCTATCAGTAAATGTCAATTGGAAAAGTTTGGATTTGCAAATAACAAATCTGCAACTCTTACAAGGAATAGAAAAAGTATGTTTCCTATACACTTATGGGTACTTTTATTTTAGCAAAACATTGCATAATAGCCTTTTTGTACGATGATGTTTCTTTTTAAACAGGGAAGTTTAATGAAATAACTGTTCTACAAACACGTACTCAAGAAGAAAGAAACCGCATTTTAACAGAAAAAATTGCTGAAATTCTCATGGGTGATGAACCATTTACTCAAGAATTAAAAGTATATAATGAAAAAAATACAGCAAAATCTATTCTGAAAAGTCATTTACTTCAACAATTGTGTTATAAGGTATAAATAGTATTTTACTTTATTATTACATAGTTAATTAATTATAAATTTTCTACTATATAAATTAAAGGATGAAAAATTATGGAATAAAGCTGGATTATCTTCAAACCAAATATCCTTTTACGTATCAAACTTATCAGAATATATATTTCCACAAACCAAACAAATAAAAGTAAGTATATATTATTATATATATTATATATAATATAAACTTTATCTAAATTATGCTTGCAGGAAGATGAATGCAAGGAAGGTGATAAAGATTTGTGTCAGAATAAAACAGAAGGAAACGCGAATAAGGAAATATTTTATGAAGTATCACAAAGTGATTTACATTTGCCAAATGAAGAATGTGAAAATTTAGATGGTGAACAATACATTGATACCTCAGCAACAAATTGGAGAAATGCATTGAATGACAGTTCTGCAAGTGATATAATAATATTTGTTAATAATAATAGATATATTTGGGCACATAAATTAGTTTTTTATGTACAGTGCTCTAACATACTATTGGATGTCATGCCCAATGATAATTCACAATTTGCTACAATCAAGGAAAAAATATTTTGGCCTGATATAACTTATAATGTTGCTTTAGCATTTCTAGAGTTTATATACTGTGGTAACATAAAGAAATACTGTGATGTTTTTCAAGACATACCAAGCTATTCTATTTTAAGAAATTTGGCAAGAAAGTATAAGGTGAAAGAATTATTTCCATATTTACAAAGAAAAGAGATTGAAACTAAACAAATAAGGGTTCAAACAAAAGACACTAAAAATATGGAACTTGACAAAACACTAATCGTGAAAGAAATAGATAACTTGGAAGAACCCTTAAATATATCAAAGGTTTTCACTTGCGAGAACAAGGAAGAATTAATATTACATGAAGGTGAAGTATTAAATGAAAATGTGTGTAAAGAACAAAGAAATCAGAGAGTCGTTTCTTTAAGTCAAATGAGTCCAATAAGGCACTGTAATGAATCTCCTGATATGTTTGATGATGTTAATGAATCCATACTAAATTACAATGAAAAATCTATTAGCCATACGGTAAATTTTAGCGAAAAACAGAAGTATAACCATGTTGATACAGTCAACTCAGTTAATCTAACAACAATTGATACTGATTCGAATAAGATTGAGGACTCTGTTTTATTTAAAAATATTGAAGGAAATATAAATTCTTTGTCGAATACGCCACAGTCTAGTAGATCAAAAAGGTGGAGTGTAAACCATACTAATTTTAAAAAAACCAAAAGTAATTTGAGCTTATTTATTGAAAATTTTCAAATGGAGAATGCAAGATCAGATTGTGATACAGATTCTGAGATTATGGTAATACCAGTATCACCAAAATTCAAAAGAAATCCATTTAATATAGAAAATAATAATTCTTATCAGGATTCATTGTCTAATGAAATTAACATGGCGAAAGGAAAAACAGAAAACAAAAGAGATATTCTGAATAAGTTTGATTGCAGTACCAGTTCCCACTCGCATGTACAGACTATACCTAAAGGAACTGATACTGATGTAAACTTGACTTTTGAGTCAATGGACAATTTAACGGAATTATTAGAAAATAATAAGGATAGTAGCGTAGAAAATTCTGTGAAGAATGATTCAATAAATAGAAATATAACTAATACGAACGATGTGGTTCAAAGCTGTGTAGAATCTCCTGTAACAGAAACAGCTCTAAAGGACAAAATAAGTGATGAGAGTTTAAACAATGATATCACAAAATGTAATGAAAGTGATAGTAGTAATGAATCAGATGTTTATTCAAATAATGCTGAAGAGTCTATATATACAAAATACAGAAAAGGACATCAAAATAATAGTATAGCAAAATACAGAGATTTTATTAAAGAATATGTACTAAAGAGTTCTGTGGAAAATAGCTCGGAGGATGACTATAGTGAAAGAGAAATTAACGTAGAAACAGAAGATATTACTATATTATCAGATGAAGATATCGGTTGTGACTTTACAGCAATTTCAGAGAAAAAGAAAAAAATAGTTTCTGACCTCGAAAAGTTTGATCAATCATCTTTTGAAAGTCCTACAAATTTCAGTAAGACACTCGATAACAGTATTAAACACCAACGAAACACAAAATTGCATAATGCAAGCAAATTAAGATCCACTAAGTCGGAAAGTAGCATCGATGTAAAAGCAATAAAAGATAATTTGTCGGTATCATCACCAGATCGAAAAGTAAATCAAATGAATTTAATGGAATCTCCTGTTTTGATATTGTCTAGCCCAGAAATTGATTTTGATGTTTCAAATGTAGGTACAAGTAAAATCAAAGTAAACAATGATATTTCGAATCCAAAAGAATTTGATGATTATACTCGTATTTTCGAGAAAGATATTTATTTAGCAAACGTTTACATTAATAATGATCCGGCCGATGTTAGTAAGATTAAAGGAACTTCGCTGGTCGAACCGAATAAGAAAAATTATGAACGAACTACAACTGACAACAATAGCATGACACAGGTAGAGAAATCTTTATCCACACAACAAAGTATAAGAAAATTTCAAAGAAAATCTGTGTCGGAAATGAGTTTAAATATTAATACAAAAAGTACAAAAAATAATGCATTGCAGTCTATCGTTAATGTAGACCAGTCTTTATGTAAATGTGGTAATAAACAAGTCTCAAGGAATATTAAATCTCCTACAACACTTATTAGAGACAGTACTACGCCTCCTCCTGATTATGATGGCATGAAGACACCTGAGCTTCATGTATGACAGTAAATTATATTTTATAAGCACTTGAGAAAAAGTGAAGATAAACATTGAATTAATAATTCGTTAATTTCATTTCAGGCAGAATTACATAAATATGGACTAAAATTACAAAAACGAAGTCGGGCTGTAAAATTATTGACGTACATTTATAATGAGTTGCATCCTGTGATACCTTTAACATCTAAGAAAACAGTATCTGAGTATGTAGTTGTAAATAGTGATGATGAGGAACCACCAATGAAAAGAAAAAATTACAGTAAAAATGATAATGATTGTAATAATGACTACATATATGAACTAGTATCATCAAAAGGCGGGTATGTCTAGTTTAAAACGTCTATTTGTAAAGTACATTATATAATTATATAATATTCTATTTAAATCTTCAGCGCTGATAAGTCAGCAGCAAATATAATAAACGAGGAACGAAAATTTGATGAATTCGAAACTGTCACAACTAATACTGCATTAAATATTAAAGATGAGTTTTACAAATTAATAGAAGATCAGAAAGAATTACATAATAATATCTTAACTTACGAACCATTATGCATAGAGTCTCTACACTCTATGTTGAAAGAAAAAGGTTTTAAATGCAAAATGAACACATTAATGGACTTTTTAGACGAACAGGTAATATTGTTATAAATGAAATATTTGACGTTTGAAATATTTATATTATATTTGTTTTAGTGTATTACATTTTATTTTCAAGATATGAAAAAAGGAAGAAATTGGAAGAAATAGATAATAATATGAAAAGACTCAATAAAATATAGCATGTTAGATGGGTAATGTGAAAGATGTATTTACTATAAAAATAAATTTGTAAGAAACATATGATAAACAAATATCGCGCTAGTAATTATTTTAAATAAGATTGTATACTTTATAAAATTACATTATTCTTTTCAAACTCATTCTCAATATATTTTGCTTCGTTTTATACATTTAAATAAATTTAAAAAGATAATATTTGTTTAACTCTTTCGCTACGGTGAAGTTTAATGGATTTCTCATCACGCGCATCATCAGTGCGTATTCTGGTGTGTTTACCCTTGTAACAGCGGCAGAGTTAAATAAATTCCTTAGTTTACAATATTTTCCAATATAAATAAAAAAATGTACAACTATAAACAATTTTTATGAAACCAAACCGTTTCAGACAACGAATGTAACAATAATTAAATTGATTTCAAATTATAAACACATTTTGCTATTTAGATTGTATTTTAATCAATAACATCAAAAGTTTTTACTGAAAATTCATTCTTATCGGTTTAATAATAGAAAAGAATAAAAAACGTATAAAATCGGAATATAGCAAGTGTTTACTACTCTAATAAATAAAATATGAGTAGTTAATACCATTTAACTAGTACGAGGTATCAGTCCATTTACTTCAGGTTGAAGGAATTCCGTCACGACGGCTGATACCATTTCGTCAAGCGTAGTTTTTAATAATGTGAGGTTTCTAGAAAATAGAAAACGATTAATTGATTTAATATTTAAGACACTCGATATTCAAATTATTTTTTTAGAAGCTTACTTCTCTTCAGGAGTTGCACATAGTTCACTATAATACTTAATCTTAGGTTCTGTACCACTAGTTCTTAATGTTATAACTAAACCATTCTTAAAAGTAAATGTTATCATTTGACTTGACTTTGAGACTGGTAGAATAGCCTTATTCTCCGGTTTCGTGTTGTCATATCCAGTCGTCAGATCACGAACGCCTATTACGGAGTATTTTCCATCGAGGATACATGTTGGGTACTAAAAGTTAAACATTAAACAATATAGTAAGTAATTATTTGGTAACATATGAACTTTTTTGTGAATGGGAGGAATATATATAAGTTCTTTCAATTTTTATAGACAGGCACTTACTATATACTCATGGAATTCCTTCAACAAACGGTGTGAGATAATAAAGAGATTGTACAACTGGAATAATTAGAACAGTCAAAAGTACCAATGGCAAAAGTGTCAAAGACACGAGTAAAATAGTCATAAACATTTTAAATGAACAATTTGGATGTATTCAAATATCATGTGAAAACCACATGTAATATGACAAAAGATTTTCTTAGAAGTACATAATGAACATTTAAATTCATAAAATTGATTATTATCTACAAAAACACATTTGATATTGTTATATTTTTTTTAAGAAACTTTAAATGGAGTGTACGCGATAACGTTGTTTGCACCAATGCAGAACCGTGCCTATGTAATTACTAGTCATTTTATGCTTTCTCATTCATTCCAGTATGTGACCTTGTACACTTGTAATACTAGTTTGCACTGTATACATTAACTCTTTCTTATAGCACAAACATGAGTAAACATTCTTTAATTATTTATTATTGCATTTATAGTTTTTAAAGCAAATCATAAACATATAATGCTGTGTATACATTTCTTACCGTATTTGGTTCACCAGTGTAATTTCGTAATCTTTCAAATATCGTTTTAATCGTATCTGGTTCATGACAAATCCAATATGAATTCTTAGAAATGTGATATCCATATCTGGATTAAATATACACAATTTTTTAATTGAGAGTGAAATTTTACAAGTTTAGTAAATGTCTCACATGTCAACTACAGTATAACTTACTGAGCATATATTTCATTCAATTTTTCATAAAGTGTAAAATTTATTGTCTCAAGATATGCTGACAATTCCGCCACATGCATTCCAGCACTTATACCATCTTTGTCAAACACATTGGAACCACACATGAAACCGATTGCTTCTTCATATGCAAATATGACTTCTTTACCTGCCTGTTGCAGTTCTACAGTTTTATTACCCATCCATTTAAAACCTGTTAAAGTTTCCTTTTGAAACATACGAAAGTTATAATAGTAAGAACTAGTAGAGACAATTTATAATGTTTGAAATATACATACCACAAAGTTAAACCCTTCTTGTTTAGCCATTGATAATAAAATTTTGCTTGATACCGTTGAAGCTAACATGTACACATTTGAGAAATCTGTATCAGGATGTTGCACTTGATAAGTATGCATCATCCACCATCCTAATAGAGCTCCTAATTCATTTCCCGTAAAAATATACCATTCTCCGCTATGATAAAAACAAGTAAATTGAATTTAATAAGTTAATTGATACAATATCTACACTACATACTTTTTCATTTTTGTTGCACAAGCTAATCTATCTGCATCAGGATCATTAGCAATTATAATAGAAGAAGAGTTCTCATTTGCTGCTTTTATACTGAGATTCAAAGCGCTTTTCCCTTCTTCAGGATTTGGAAATTTCACAGTGGAAAATTCTGGATCAGGTAACTTTTGTTCTTCAACTGTTATAAATGGCTGCAATAAATGGAAATAAAATTTGGTTTTATTACCTTTGTTTAGTTGTGTTCAACAATATTTAATATTGCCCTGTGCATTAAGAAAATTAAAAGTACTTTGAAATTTGCAGCATTAAAGGCTGCACTCATATATTCATATCCAACACCATGCATGGGAGTATACGTAAATTTTAATATTGTGTTTCTATTTATTTCTGGATATAAAACTGTTTGTTGCAGATCATGAAAATATGATTGCATAATATTGTCCCATGGATCTTTGTACAATATACTGTTGTATACATTCACTACATCCCAAGAAGATTCAATGGGTTCAAGATTTTCAAGAATATATTTTTGAATCTTTTTATCGTGTGGTGAAATGATCTGTGCACCATTTTCCCAATAGACTTTATAACCATTATCATTTTTAGGATTATGAGAAGCTGTAATCATTATACCCGCTGCACATTTATATTTTAGTACACCGTAAGGTATAAAAGGAGTTGGAACAATTTTTGAAAAAAGGTACACTTTTACATTTTTTGCCACAAAAATTGCAGCAGTCAATTCTGCAAATCTGAAATAACAATGTAAAATTTTAATACAAGATATAAGCTGCAAAAATATATGAATTTTCAATTTAATTTTTGTTAACCTTTTACTACAATGTCGTCCATCGTAGCCTATGATCACTCCTTTCTCAGATGCATTACATACAGCATCCAATAAATAAGTTGATAAACCTTGACCAGTTTGAACTATAACTAAATCATTCATTTGACTATACCCTGGACCCATACAACCTCTTAGACCAGCTGTTCCAAATTCAAGTCTCTTCAAAAATAAGTTTGACAAGACTTTCGCATTATTTTCTCGAATAAGTTCTTCAATCTCATAATCAGCATTTGGATCCTACAAAGTAATCATTTAAAAATTAACTTTGTAATTAACATAATATTCACGTAAAATGTAAAATAAAATCAATTGATGGTATTAGAACCTTATTCCACTTCAACCACTCATTAATTTTGTTGTCCAACTCAATATCTCCAGTGTTTACAGGAATTTTGGTGGCCATAGTGAGAATATTTTTCTATAAAAAATAATATAAGAATTAATAACTGTTTCTTTAAATATTACAATAATTAGTTTTATTCTTTTGCTAATACTTTAATCATATTTTAACTTCATTAACAAATACCTGTAAGGGAAAGTAAATGATTTTAGTAAAGAAAAATTATCACATCACCGTAATGAATATTAATATTATTCTAGTTACCGTAGTTTAATTTGAGTTTCTTTGTATTAAATAATTATAATACAAAAATTATTATAAAATTTCAATATTACAAACACCACGGGCGGTAATAGAAATATGAAATGATCAGTAGCGGTCAGTCATGATCAGTAGTGATTATTACGAGCATCAACGTGTTACTTCCTGCTGAGAATGCGAAGTTGAAATAAAAAGGTATAAATCTTTGTTAAATATTAAAAAGTATTGCATTAAAATATTATATAAAATAGTAATAAAGAAATTTATATTTGAAATATAAGAACAACTGCGATACAAACGACGAATATATATATACATTTTTACCAATAATTAAAATGCTCACGTACTTGATGTAGTATCTTTAAATGAAAACGTAAAACGATAACTAAATAATATATAATAAAAATTTCAGAGATATGATACCTATAGAAAGATAATCTCAATGGCAGTTAGAAAAGATAAATTAAATAGATGTTCGCTAACCTATCACTGCTACACCGTGCCGGTGACGCAGGTTGGTTGATTCTTTCGGTAGCAGTTGACAGGAATACTCGATTTTTGTAAATGTCATATGGAAATTTTCAACTGTATTCAGAAGTTAAATATATGATATGAATTGTTTGCACTCCGCAGAAGTACACTTTTGCGGCAAGGGCAATTGTTGTGACGGGAAAAAGGTACGCACAATATAAGAAAAACTTTTACAGGTTATTTTGTTTTTATCTTTAAGAAATCATATGTAGATATGTTTATGCGGGTTGTTTAAATTCTTATTTTGTATTATACTCTTTATTGTATAATCATCAATGCCTTTGAAATAACTGTTTTCATCAGTAAAAAATTTTTAATTTTTATTTTAAATTCTTTTAGAGATTACATTCTAATATTCTTAATTGTTCTGGATGCCAAACAATTCAAATTTTAGTTGTCATTATTAAAGTGAAAACTATGGCTTTTTCTATATCATATTCTGATTATACGAATACTTTTCTTCTTTATTATATATTCATATGCGTGTCTCAATCACATGCAGCTGTTACAAAAACATTAAAGTAGTTCAATTATCTTAATGATTAACTTAATGTTTCTTTTAGAATGAATGAATTTTATGGATTATATACTTAATTATTATCTCAAGAGCCCAAAAATGTACAAGACTGTTCAAAGGTTACTTCGGCATAAGTATAAGGCCTATCGTATAACAGAATTAAATGTATTTAAATTTTTTATCAGTATGCTGTGAACTATAGAAGCATAAGGTAATTTCAGTAATTATTCAATAATCAACTACTTATTAAGTAGTGTCAATTAATTATGTTAATCATTTTGTAGACAATATTCTTATAAAATGGATATTGGAATTGTTAAAATTGCTGAGGATAAAGATTTTGAGAAATTGAAACGACTATACGATGATAATAATGACTGGAGATTAGATTACAATAAGCCTGATCTGTCCGTTTGGACAAAATCTGTACCAGGAATTAGTTTTAGAATGGTGAAAGTCTGTACATTTTTAATCTTCTTTAAATTATGCATTTTATTTACACGTTTATGTACCTGTAAAACATTAATGATTAAAACATTTTACAGATTAGAACTCGTTTCTCTGATGTTTTACCAGAAACATTATACGATGTATTGCATGACCCTGAATACAGAAAGGTTTGGGATACCCATATGATTGAATCAAAAGACATAGGCTTTTTTAATCCGAATAATGATATTGGTTATTATTCCAGTAAGTATTTAGTTCTAGATATACTAGTTACAGCGTTAATTGTAGTTGCCAAATTAAATTTGATGTATGCTCCGATTAGTGGCTTGTCCATCTCCATTGAAAAACAGGGATTTTGTTCTACAAAGATCCTGGCTTGATACTGGTATAGAACAATTAATTCTAAATCATTCTGTTTTCCATAAGGATTATCCACCAAGAAAACAATTTGTAAGGGCAACATCTTATCTTACAGGTGAAACTTACTATTATGATAGAATTAAAATTTTTAAGTACATACAATTACATTATTTTATTATCAGTGCTCTTAATTTAAGGATACATTGTAAGACCATCGCGAAATGGTGATGGTTCTGAATTGGGATATGTGTCTCATACCGATCCACATGGAAAACTACCAGTTTGGTTAGTTAATAAAGTCACACAAATATTTGCGCCTAAGGTCTATACTCTTTATATACATTGTAAGTATGCAGTTCACCATATTGCAAATATTTTAATCCGTATTCCTTTTTTAGATGGTTAAAAAGTTACATAAGGCCTCTGTAGCTTACCCTGATTGGAAATTATTAAATAATCCAAACTATAAGCCATGGCATTTTCCTGAACAGATATCTGCGCCAAGAATAAGAATTGAAGAGGTAAGTGGACTGTTCCTATAAATAAATTTCATCTGATTACACTATTTTTAGTGTGTGAAGTCCACTGAAGAAAGAAATTCGAAGAATCATTATGTCGATGAATCAGAATTAAAGGAGACTACTATAATGGATAGCGATTAAGTTTTTTTCTGCAAAAAGGTGCACTCTCATGTGGTTAGAATTTGAAAAGGTCTAACTATATAGTATAGTAAAATTAAAATTCAAACAATTCGATTTGTATGCGTACATACCCGTGTGCATGCATACATACGACTGCTTAAATTTCATTAATTATTCTAATAATAAGGGTATCAGGTTTATTGCAATAGCAAAGCTTATGGCAATGGATGACAATGTAAGTAACATTGTGGCTTGCATTGCATGTATACTAGTCATAGGTTGTTATCAAATTGAAAAAATTGTATGTGTTGTTTAGAACGCATATAATTTATTGTATGTGCTATGATGTGGAATATATATAACGCACAATATGTAGATCGATTGATAACGATGAATTTTTGTTTAAGTGGATTTATTTAAGTATAAGCATTATGTAAATGTTAGGATTGAACATAATTACTGAAGGTACAAAACTTAAGTGTTATTCAGATTGAGTATTTGTTGAACCTATTGTATTATATCATGCTGCATAGACACTTATCGTAATATTGCAGTATTAAAAAATGTGATTTTTGTACTATCAAGGAAATTCAAATGAATACAAAAATAGTAGTCAAATACGGATAGCATTTTTGTTAGAACTTTTTAAGCATATTAGTTCATGATAATGTTATTCATTAGGCTTAAAAATATTAAAATCTGAATGCACGAATAATGATCTATTTTAATTTGAACAAATAGCTTTATACTAACAATGATAAATTCTTGTTCTAATAAATATTACAAATTTTATTCACTTCATTACAATATATCATCTACTTTACTCGGACAATAGTTACAAGTAAAAAGATCGATCAACTGAAATGAATTTAATTTTACAATAGTAGTTCCTGTACTTAAAGTTTTTTACATTTTTTAGAAGAAGAAATGAGGAAAACGTATTCTGCCTACATTTAATACAGTTACATATCCTATTTATACAAGTTTAACTGATATCTTTTACTATTTTATTATAAAATACAAATTTATACTTTTCTGCAATTAATACAATTTTCTTAAATACTTATGTGATATATACATATAGGTTTATATACGTATATAATTTATTGTATAATGTTCGAAATATTTATTACGTATATTTTACTTGATTGCAAATTAAAGTTTATATAAATTGTGAGTGATAAATGTTTAAAGAAAGTGCAACTACAGTGTTGTCTAATTATAAATATTTTTTAAAATAGTTCAATCTAGAGAATTTTGGAAGTGAAACTGAATAAGTATATTACTGCACTATTTAAAATGATTCCGTGCACTTTGTCTTAACGATCAATCTTTTATATATACAATTAGTTAGATAATTTATGCAGATCTGTAATTGTGTTAGTATGCAATGTTCTTTACATATAGATAACATATATCCAAAACTAATATTCTTCTACTATGCTTCCAAAAATTAAGTTTTTATTATCTATATTACAGTGTCAATTGAAAGACAAATAAATAGTTGCATTTGTAATTAGAAAAATCAAAATTATGTATATTGCTAATAACATGATAACAAATTTTAGAATTTATAAGATTTATTAAAATTATTTACCTTGTATTTATGATCATATGTATTGTATCCTACGTTTATTTACTTTGTTTCTTGCTCGAAAATTTAAATTGATGTTTTATATAAATTTATCTGTAATTGCAGTTATGTAGAAACTTTTTAAATTGTGTTTCTATAATATACACACGACTAACAATATTCAAGACAAAATAAGTCTTTAATAATGATAATCTTTTATTTAATGTATTTCATACATTTTTTTTTAAATGTTTACAGTATTTATCAGTGACTGTAAACTTATTTTTAATTTAATTTTCAAGTTACTTAAAGTAAGTATATGTGTTTAGATGTTTATTTTTATTTGACAATAAATTGTATGAAATACATCAAACTAACTATACATTGTACTTACTTACTAACTGTTCAAAAATCATTTATAAAATATTCTTACTCGCAAAATTGTAATTATGGGCTTAGATAATATTTCTTTTATTACAGTACATTTTCTAAAATTGTATGATTGTATTATTATACACGATTTTTTTATCATTAATGAAAATAATTGCAGTACAAGTTTTGGAAATACCTTCGTATTGATGCTGACCGTTTTTGCAGTGCATCGTATCTTATCAGACATTGTGATAGTATATAATAATGTTGCACTGCAAATAGAATAAAGTAATTTTGTTCATAAGATATTGTATAAAAATAATATAAATTGTTAACATTTTTGTCAATTAATTGTTTCATATCCCTTCATTAATTAATTTTCTATTTCGCTGTACAGTGTACGCGATTCCTTAATATTGAAACATAGAAATAGAATTAAATATAATTTTAAAGTCAGTCAATCTTTATAAAATTATTTGAGTAGAAAAGTTGATCTTAATTATCTTAATTAAAAAAGATCTTAATTATGTCATGAACGATATAAAAATCTGTACAGTCTTGTTTATATATATATATATATATATATATAAATCTGTGTTTAAAAATGTACAAGAAACATCACATGTTTCTTAAATGATGTTAGAATATTTTACGTTTCTTAGGAACTCAATAAACGATTTAAAAATTGGCTTTATACATCTTAATTCATTTGTAATATTAAATTAATAGAAAAACTGATGTACATCATTTTAGAATCATTATATATAATTACAATTGAAATACCACATATCGTATCGAAATTATATTTTGACCGATTATCTTTCAAACGGTTTGATTTTTTATCGCAGTCAATTGTTCTGTATATTCAAGATACAACCTTTGCCAACGGAGGTGTCCACCAACGACAGATAATACGTCTTCCAAAAGTTTATGTTTTTTAATTCCCTGTGTAAATTTAATAACGTATTAACAATATCCATCTTTAAACACCAAATAATAGAAAATGACAATCATTAAAAGTAATACCAGTATCAAAGGATCCCATATGCTTTTGGAAGCTGACGTATGGCTTGGACCCAAAAGATCATCTAAGATTAACCTTAAACGTTTCTCTAATCCATCTACAAAAAAAAAATACTTGTGTATAAAACATAATTAATTACTACGATATTCTTGTGATTAGTACCCGGTAGTCATCCTCACCACTGAGGGGCGAGTACCTTCAGCAAGCCACGAAAAATGAAAAAAAAAGAAAAAATCTTTTTATATCTTTTTGGATCTTATCTCGACTTCGAATCAACACCACTGCAGAATTAGTGCCCGGTTACAGACCCGATTTTCGGGTACTAATCGTGAGAATACTGTACAAAGCTAAGACATAAATATTCATATCTACCTTGAGTTAATAAAAACGATACTAAAGCTATGAGCCAATGTACATATTCCTGAGCACTTCCAAGAGCTCTGGAAGCAAGCATCTGTTGTTCCAAGTAGGATACCACACTGGGAGCACTGTGAGGTAATCTTGGATTAGGCAAAGTATTTCCAGCCGTCCTGAGTAATCCTTCTTGTAGCGAAGAAAGAGGTCCTCTGGGAGCTCTACTTCCGGATGTACTAGACGTATTAAAAGAGGCCCAGCGCCATATAGGATCTTGACTATCACCAATCAATAACCAAGTACCTGAAAGTGTTGTTATACTTTCCTTAATACATTTATCAGGGTAACATACTGATGATTCGAACCATAACTATAATTTACGTACCCATTTCTTTATGATATATGTACGCCCTAGCATTAGTAAAAGCTAAATGAGGCATTCCATTATATAAAGTGCAGGATAATAAAGAAGTTCCTGGTACCGCTAAATGCGCAGCGGAAGTGGAAACTATCATTCTACATGAATGTCCTATTTCCCACACGCGAACTGCTCCACAGCTTGAAATAACCATCACCTGAAAGTATATTGGTACTTAACACACGGTGATATAATTTTCATTATTTATTTAACCCATTCGCGCAGAATAACTTGTCAGATTCGTGTTTTTCTTTTTTCCTGTATTTTGTCATGATGTATTAATAAACATTAGTACGTTATATTTTTCGTTTTTCTTTGTAATACCATACCATCGTACACAATTATTTCTACACTGTGGCGCCTAAGCGCACTTCGTCTAGGTAATATACAAAATTACTGCCGCGCGAACGGGTTAAAGCAAGAAGTTTAAAAAATATATTATTATTATTACTGCATTTCCAACTGCATGAACTTTCGCGAGTGGAGCAGGGGGAGCTAAAGGTGGTGCCGGTCGACATCCTTTTACAGGATGAAACGTATGAAGGCTTCCATCTTCCAAACCAACGGCTATAACAGCTGGTGATGCTGCCAAAGCTACAGCACTGTACCCTAAATAAAGATCCCAGGTTGGTTCAGAATCTGTACCCTTGAATACTTGTAAATGAGCTAAACCTTGGCTGTTAGTCACAGTGACAGCGTAATGGCCAGCTTGCTGAGATAACGAGCTAGATGGCTTCAACGGGGGGAGTAAAATCTGATTTATACTTCTTTCGGACGTAACTTTTGGTTTCTTAGTAAACGCAGTCTGATGTAGTTTCGGTGTAGTCTGTTCGCGTCGTTTTAAAGTGAGTGTAGACGTTGCACTGTTAGTATTGGTTAAATTCACTGAAGCAGTAACATTAGGCGCTACGACGTCGTTTCGCTTCTCTATTACAATCGAACTTTTTACTTGACTCGTGAATGTTGGCGTTCCTAGTCTGGTACTCGAAGAATCCCTGATAAATAAAAATCATTCGTTTTAATAGCAAAAGAACCGAAACATTATTGCAACATCAAAAACTGTATTTAAACTCACATTGTATCTGACGGAGGTGGTATGAACATTGGTGTTATCCGCCTTTTACCGTCTGATGTTCTTGTTTCGATTTGTTTATTAATAGGACCTTTCGCAGGAGTTGTGGAAGTAGTGGTAGGCGGTTGTACCGAATTCGTACTTGTCGATGTTTGAGTTGTTTGCGTTGGAGGTGCTGTTGTCTTTAAATTTAGAAGTTCTGGTGCTTCCATGACTGTACAACCACCTTGAACTAAGGGTTTACCATACAAACGTTCATGAAGACTACTCTGTAATAAGATGAAACAAATGCAGAATACTAAAGTATTGTATACTCCTCTTCAAAAAGATAGTCCAGGTGTGCTACCTTTAATTTCTCAATGATTCATGCAAAATTTTATATCTGTAGCGACTAATTTCAAAATATTATGACCTCCAGATATGCGTGTGATGGAAAATAAATCACAATATCGTACAGGTTTATATACAACGAAGAAAAACTATTCCGTACCAAGGCCGAAATGATAGCACAGTCTGTTAATATATTTAGAAATTGTTCAATATTCCGTGATCCATTCACGAACGAACATTACAATTACTATATCATACAAATTTAAAACTATGGCACGTGAAAAAAGGTTGAACGAGTCCGGAAGAAAACAAATTTTTGAATCAAAAAGCTAACAGCAATTTTGTGTGTACCTTCCAATTCACAATTAATAATCAAGCAAATAGTAGACAAATTTGGTGTTAG